TGTCTGTCTGTCTGTCTGTCTGTCTGTCTGTCTGTCTGTCTGTCTGTCTGTCTGTCTGTCTGTCTGTCTGTCTGTCTGTCTGTCTGTCTGTCTGTTGTGCTTTTGGCTCAAATACTGCCAAAAGGTTTTGCATATTGTTTGACCAACTTATTTCTTATCCTCCTGAGTTGTCCACCTGGTGTTTCACGGCATTTCTGACTTTTTTATGCTGTTGTCTCAAAGGTTGTAACAGCATCATAACCCTTTAGCTGTTTCCCAAATGACTGATTCACTTGTTCTATATGAAAGACTGGAACCTTTCTTTGAACTGCACGGTATGAAATCAATTCTTGTAAACTCTAATGACCATCTTTTACACCACATGCCCATCCTGATGCAACCACAAAAGAATGTGTGCCTCCTTCCCAGGATTAAACTGAGGAATCTTTCTTTTAAACCATTACACACATATTTCAAGTAGTGGAATTTTTATTAACTGCACAAATTTATAATTTCAAAAAATACATAATTAATATACTGTATTTGTCATTTTACACAATATCTTATGGAGAAACTTAATGGATGGAAGAGATTGTTTTTGTCTTTCTCTCTTACAACAGGCTCTGACACCATTCTTTAGCTATTCACTCTAAATAGTAAAAAAACCAAACTGAATAGTATAGGTGGAGGAAAGATGTTTGTTAAGGAAATGCTCATGTGCCAGACAGAGTCCAAATCAAATGACATGCAAACTGTTCTGGTAAGCTGATGCACCACGTAGATGATGTTGTTAAAGCCAGACTGAAACAGATCAGGATGTCAAGCTTCATGTCAGCTGTGATTTGTCCACAAAACATTTGTTTGGTTTCTGCATCCAAGGCTGAGCAAACTGCTGCAGACAGCTATGGTCTGACTGTTCTGTCTAAAAGAAATAAACAGTTATATTTATCTAGCTTTTTTCTAGGGAATCAAATGTTATTTATTCCTCTGCTTTTGTTTACTGAATATAAATATTTTTGCAGATCTCGTAAATCGTGATTTTAATTGTCTTTTCGCGCTCTTATGGTGGCAGCGTAAGTTTAACAGCAGGGAGGCCTTGGATGGGCAGTTCTTGAGCAGCAGCTGCTCGTAAAAGCTTTACGGGGTGTTTTTGGCACAGTGTACACTTTCATAATCATATCATCATAACAATAATTAGCATCTTCTACTTCTTCATCATTTAATCACTGATGGACAGGAAAGGATCCTAAGATGTAATTTCATCGTTCATCAAAACATAATTTTGAGCTTTATTTGTTTACATTTTTCATTTAATTGAGGTTTTATGCTATATTTTCATATAGTAGGTATGCCTACTCTGTGGGCTGACAAGATGGCAGACCTGCAAAACAAGTGCATTCACTCAGTTTGCTCAAGATCAGAGCGGGAGAGCCTCTAGCAATTTAAAATCTTGATAGTCATGTAGAAAAGCTCCCTGTGGATGATGCTCTCTTCCCCTTAAGGTGTAAATCTTAGAGAAAGAATTTTATGAAGCTAGTGAGTCCACCTGACAACTAAACATATCTACCTTGCTCAGCATTTCCCTCTAGTGGGGAGTTCAGCTCATTTGTGTAGACTGCCAGACAGAATGGCTCTATTTTACCCACAGCCATTGGGTGAAGATTGAACATATCCACAAATAGAATAATTTTATTCATGCATCTTTAGGTAAAGGGGCAGATAAGTCAGGTCACAAGCTAATACAGGCCCAAACAATGATCAATAACAATATTTTAAAAAGCACTGAAAGGTGAAGTTAGTAACGCTGAATAATTTGTTACACGGGCATTATTCTGCTTGAGTCCTTGGATTCATCGTGCTACAGTGACACTTACCACCCATGTAAACATTGTTCCAGCCCTTCATACCAGTGCACAAAAAAACAGCATCTCCCATCAGGATGATGTCACACTGCTATAACTGTTATGGCATGACTCAAATAACACAACAAAAGCCACCCCAGCTTCCAAACTCCTCAGATCTCAATGCAAGAGCATCTGGGGGATGTGCCAGAACAGGGCTGATCCACTGAGACTCCACCCCTAAACCACACAACACCCACAGAGGTCCTGTGTCAACGCCCTGACTTAGGAGAGGGGCTATTTGGGTGAAAAGGGGGAAATCTACAAAATATTACACAGTAGTCTAATGTAGTCAGTGATCAGTGTTTATTACAGGAAACTCCAAATACATATTAAAAAGTGAGAAACACTTGACTCACTGTGGTCATATTGTTACTGGAAAGTCTGTGTCCTACTCTAGTGATGAATGGTGACATTTATGAAGCACAGACACTACACAACATCTTGCAGCACACACAATAATATCCACTGTTCTCTCCCTGGTCCAGCAGCTGCTGATACTTCTTAGAAGCAGCCTAATAGCTTCATTCTTCCCAGCTTCATTTTTCAAACCTCCCAGAGGAGGATCACGCTCCTCTAATTCTCTTGCATTAGTAATATCACTGTAAACATGCGCAGGATATCAAGTATGTAATCATGTGAGTATTTGTGCACTTTTCAAAAGGCCTGCGCATATTTGTACCAAGATGGGTCAGAAGCATGCAGGCCTGACAGCCACAGTGAGTAAACATTTTAATCAGAAGTAAGAAATGAGATGATGACAGCCTTATAGGGCTCCAAGAGCACCCTCCTGAACAAGCAAGTGTCTGGCATAGAAGATTAAGAAAAAACTGCAATAAAACTGTGAAGGTGGTGGCTTGCAGCAGTATTAAAGCATGAAAAGAGACGAGTGTATTTTAGAGACCGTTTAACCTGCCCTTTGTTTAAGAGGATGAGGGGGATGGTACTGAGGCAGAACAGATGTCAGAGTGACAGGAGGGTTTCCCCACACCCCTCCACCACAGGTCAGAAATACTTTGCATCCTCCAGTCGTCATGGAAACCGAGTGCAAACCAGGAAATATACCCACAACATTTTACAAATATGGGAATATTTAAGAAAGCACAAAGTTTCGGTGACTTTATCGGCACCAAAGAACCCGTGATTTGTAACGGCAGCGTTTTGACAGTCAACATCTGGTTTTGAGCCAAATGTTGCAGCTACATTTCCATAATCACAATTAATTGTCAGCGGGTTTCCCATCCGCTTCCCGCATAGAACGCTCGTGTGCGTCTGCGCCACAGACGACAGTCCGCTGGCTCATGTCAGAGCTTCTTCTTCTCCCGCTGATTCACGAAAAAAATTGCACAATTCCGTTGCCCATTGGGCGGAATCCTCCAAGACCCTGACACGAAGAGAGTGGCGTTTGCTGAAATCATAGGCGTGGTTTTGGATGAAGATGCTCCGTCTGCTCCCGTTGGGATCCCCACCTGCCCTCACACCGCGTTTGTCACCGAGCCAGCTGGAATATTCCTGAGCTTCAAGACTCCACAGCAAGCGTCACATTATATATTTATTATTATTGCTTTTGTCTCGGAGGGTTTAGATTTCTTTTCGTCTGGAGGTTCGGTGTAATTACGGCGCTGTGGGCGCACGGGTCGCCCGGTTTTATCACCTCCAGAGCGGCGGTGGCGCACGGAGATAAACAAGAGCGGACATTCGCGTGGCCTCCAGGCAGAAGCGGCTGCAGCAGCGGTGGGAGAGGAACCACAGCGGAGACCCTGGTTCATGTGTAGGGCTGTTCGACGCGCAAGTTGTGCCCGCTGCGGATCTCAAGGATGGAACATACACACAAGATACCCAGCAGATCGCTCTGGCTCGGCTTACTTGTGGTGGCGTCAGTTATACTTCTAGTGGACAGCAGGAGACCCAAGCCGCCTCGCTGTCCCTTAGTGTGTACATGTTCCAAAGATAACGCGCTGTGCGAAAGCGCAGGACTCATCCCTCGCAGCTTTCCCCGAGAAATCACATCTTTGTAAGTTCTATTTAATATTGTTTTGAAATAAAAACCCACTGCAGCGATGAACGCAACATGCTTAGCTCTACCTGCTGGTTAAGACGTGGATTTTTCCGCCAATGCTGCAAAATAATTGCATATCCAAGGAACAGACTGCAATAAGTGATCGTCAGTCTGTGCTGTAAGCCTAAACAGTATGCGTGTGTGTGTCGTGTTTTCCCCCCCACAGATCATTTGTCAAGTCTGAATTCACTGAAATTCCGAAAGAGAGCTTCATCCTCACGCCTGCTCTGCATCTCCTGTGAGAAATCTCTTAGGAGTTTTTACTTTTTTCTTGCTTTTCTTGCACTCTGTGAGCTGATCAACGCCATGTTTAATGTTCAAGACATTTCCCCCTTCAATGATGCTACACATTATGATAGAACGGGTGTTGCTGTGGCTAATGATTAGGTTGGAGAAGCCTTAAACCCAAAAAATCATTTGCTGAAAACGTGGTTTTCCTGCATCCTTTTTCATGGCATGGTGATTTTAAATCTCTCTGCTAGGCTTTCTTCCAAGCCTTACATTAAAATGTCTCTGTGTATAATAATGTGAATCCAGTAATTTACGGGTAATTCCTTCTTTTGATGAGGGAATTCATTTCCTCATTGGGTGGAGTACTGACAGAGACACTGTGTGTCTAAAAACAGACATGCAGGCCTGCAGGAATCCTCAGAGAGCACAGATCCGTGTCTTAAAAGTATGTGGTTTACAGTTAGCAACAATGGTTGTCTATTAGGCAAGATGTATTTTTATTATCCACTCGCTGACCCTGAATAGTAAAAATATTAACTTGAGATTTCTCCATGCAGCCTCTTCACAGCCAACAACCTGGAATCTATAAATGAGGATGCATTCATTGGTCTTCCTCACCTAGAATATCTGTGAGTAGTTGGTACAAAATTATCCTTCAAGTTGGTTTTTTGTTTTTTTGTTTTTGATTTTGTGATTGTTTTGTTGCATTTGCCTGACATTATCTCCCGTCTCCTGCATTTTATCCATCAACTTTTCAGATTCATTGAAAACAACCAAATCAATTCGATATCAGCGCATGCTTTTCGTGGACTGAAAACCTTAGTACACCTGTAAGTACTTTTTCTTTTTTTTACTAGAGGTATTAAAGAAGCAAACACTACAGTTGCACGGGGATTTAATTTTGTGACCTATTTAATTTAAAAATCTAATCACTGGTGACCTGCTTTAAGAGGGAGAACAAGAGAAGCTTTCTCTCATTTGCATCAGACATTGTAATCTATGTGCAGGTGCAGACAAGCACTGTTCCAGTAAAACGCTGACAGTTTTTATTGCGCAACTTGTATTGCCACATAGACACTTCTCCCAACATTGTGCAGCTGTTATGAATATGATTACGAAGCAAATCCCGCCACCGTCAATGTCCACTGTAAATGAAAGTATAATATTCTTTCATTACAGATTTGTGAAAGTACATTATAAGTTAAAAACGCTCTGAGATTTTCTTTTATTGATGCAATAATATTTAAGATAAGGCTCTAAAGAAACTTATAAAATACTACCCAAGTCTTCTCAACAGGAAAAAGCCTTTTTTCCACCGTCTTCATTGTAGCAGAGAAAGCCATAAAATGGCTGAGGAGGCAGTGCTAAAAATAGCTTAATGTTTCCTCAAACCCACAATAAGCAATGTTCCTGCTGTACTCTCCAGGGTGGCAATATGTGCCCCAAGCTTCTTAACAGATATCTGTGTACATACAGAAATA